GCAGAACGCTAAGACTGATCCAAGTGTCTCTGACAGTGCCTTGACATGACCCTTGGACATAGAATACTCAAACAAGAGGCGTTCTAGAATAAAGTCTCTTGGAGTGCTTGGAGCTATTTTAAGATCAGTGTAACTCTAATTGTTACTTTAACCCTTGACAGAGAGGGGTCATTTTGAGGGTAGTGTTATCCCCACTGCACTGATGAGAAAGTTGAGCAGAACCAAAGAGAGCAAACTTGGCAGAAGCAAGAATTATAACTGAAAATCACTGGCCTTTCTGGTTTTCTCCAGTGCCAAATTATGTTTTGCTCATTTTATTTGGCCAGTAAGGCAAAACCCCACGTGGGGAGGGAAGAGTTGCTGTTCCATAATGGGTTAAAATCAAAACCCCATTGTCCCAAGTCAAACTTTCGACAGGCTGACTCCCTTTATTTTTCCATGTCAAAATGCTCAAAAATATTTCCTTTCTGCTGTTGCAATGTAGCCAAGTCAAGTCTTCAATATTAGAGGCACTCTGAAAACTTGCAGACAGAGCATGGTTCACAAAGGGGTCTATTAGCTGTGTTTGCATGGAAAACAATAGTACTAATACATTTAACATAGACATTTCTTTTTTTTTTTTTAATTTTTTGTTTATTGCAGTAACATTGGTTTGTAACATTGTGTAAATTTCAGGTGTACATCATTATACTTCTATTTCTGCATAGATTACATCATGTTCACCACCCAAATACTAACTACAACCCATCACCCCACGCATGTGCCGAATTATCCCTTTCGCCCTCCTCCCTCCCCCCTTCCCCTCTGGTAACCGCCAATCCAATCTCTGTCTCTATGTGTTTGTTTGTTGTTGTTATTATCTACTACTTAATGAGGGAAATCATACGGTATTTGACCTTCTCCCTCTGACTTATTTCACTTTGCATGATACCCTCAATGTCCATCCATGTTGTCACAAATGGCTGGATTTCATCGTTTCTTATGAGTGAGTAATATTCCATTGTGTATATATACCACATGTTCTTTATCCATTCGTTCCTTGATGGGCACTTAGGTTGCTTCCAAGTCTTGGCTATGGTGAATAACGCTGCAGTGAACACAGGGGTGCATGTATCCTTACGCATTGGTGTTTTCAAGTTCTTTGGATAAATACCCAGCAGTGGAATAGCTGGATCATATGGTAGTTCTATCCTTAATTTTTTGAGGAATCTCCCTACTGTTTTCCGTAGTGACTGCACCAGTTTGCACTCCCACCAGCAATGTGTGAGAGTTCCCTTCTCTCCACATCCTCTCCAACACATAACATAGACATTTCTTATATTTGACTTTTAGAGCCAGCGAGGCAGATCTGGAAATGCTTTTCTGGCTACCTTTTGGTCTGTTTAACTCCATTGTTGGAAAGATTTCTCAAACTCTGGCCTTGTCCTTCTAATTTATTTCCACAGATTCAGTTTCAATTCTAAGAATTATCAGCTAATTTCATGTTTCATTTCAGTCCATAAAGAGATAGAAAGTCCTTTCTCATCAGAACAGCCCTTTTTATTCTTTTCTCCTCCCAAGATCAGCCTGAGACCCTGCTGCGCCAATTTACTTTTACTCCCCTCTTAGTCCTGCTTTCTCACCGCACTGCTCTAGAGATCAGAAGAATCAACAGCAAGTGGTCCCTTTCATCTCCTCCCCACCCCTTCCCCAGACCAACTCAGTCACTTAGTTGGTTAGTCAGGCCGTGCCTTCTCTCCAGCCAGCCCTGCATTCCTGGGATTAGCTCAGTGAGCCCCGGAATCTCTGCACAGGGTGAGTTTTCTGTTGTACATGCTCAGCCCAATATTTTTTGATTCATGGGTATTAAATAATTAGAGATCTGAAGGCCTTACCTCCATCCTGCACTCTTTAAAAACATAATAGCTCTTTTATTTCATGGCACTTGACTTTGTTTGTTCAGCATGATCAGGGCAGCATTCAGGCTATAGCAAGGCTGTTAAATATTTACCCAATAGGCGGATATTTATACATGAATCAGCAGCACTTATCAGTGTGTGACGCTGGAAGTCAGGTTCAGTACCCTCACAAGCTAAGAAACTACTGAGTTAAATAAAGGGTGCAACAAGTGTCTTTTTAAAAATAAACTCTCATTTAAAACTTATCATTCATAGTATCTGAAGTGCTTCACACATTGAGGCTTTCCCTGCACAGCTAAGTCATTCACAATTAGACATGACAGAGTGGTTGGTTCCTCACGTCCAAGATCCAGTGAATCCACTTGTTTGATGGTTGGAGTGGGAGAATACTGAGGTATGAAAAAAATTGAGAGGAATGCTTGCTTTGTTGCTGTGTGGGAAATTGTAAAGGAAGATGAGCTATACCTCACAATGCTTGCTCCAGTGGGGATCTGAGTGCTGCTAGAAGTTCTTTAGCATCATTGGAATCCCAACACAGCTCACTGGTAGCCAGACCTGCTGTTTCTTCCCATCCCTGTAGCCCTTTCATGATTAAAATCCCCCTGCTCTGAGGGAGGCACGTAATTCAGCAGTAACAGCATAGACTCTGGTGACAGGCAAGCCTGAGTTCAGGTCTTGGCTTTACCATATTCAAGTTGTATGAACCCAAGGAAATTTCTTCTGCTCTCTGAGCCTCGATTTCTACACCTGTAAAATTACTGTGATAATTCTCATTGAATTGTGGGGAGGATTAAACTAGATAATGGAAAAGCACCTAGCAGCGAATGTTAGTTCTTGATAGTCACAGAAACGGCGCGCAGAGAGACAGGCCTGGCAGCAAAGCATCCAGTCTTTGGATTTCTTCACACCTCCGCTTCTTCCCACCATCACAGGTCCTTTTTGTTTAATGGCTGCATTTCAGAAGCCGAGAGAGAGAGTGTCAGGTTTAGAGGATTACCCACAGACTATTTCATTCCTTGTATTAAATTTAATGAATGAATTAGAACTTATCTTGTAATATTTTCTGTGGGTCAAATCCCTGTATAATTTAGTTCCAGGGAACTATCCAAATTATTTTATTTTTTGGAATTTTATTATGCTAAGGATTGTTCCTCTAAGTAAGCTATGAGAAGCCTGGATCTTGGTCTTCTCTCTGTTATACAGATATTTCACCAATAACTACAGGATATAAATAGTGGATTTATTTTTCTTGTACTATAGAATTTTCTTGTTAATCAGTTTTCTGTGCTAATGGAGCCATTAGAACCTTCCCATTAGATGTATGCCTTCTGTGTGCTTTTGCATACAAAAGAGGGGACAAAAAGCCGCCTTCCAGTTCACAAGATGTCATAGGAATTTTCCTAGCCTTCTTCAGAGTTTAGGCTAAACCTAATCCAATGTCTACTCTGAGAGCAGCAAACAGAAATGATGTTCTTGCTGATGCTGTGCAGTTGCAGCATGTAGATGATTCATTAATGTCATACTTAGTCAAGTGCTGTCTTATAATTTTCTCAGTTGTCAGAGTTGTTGTGCTTTTTAGGTATCATCTGAGTAGAAAAAGTCAACAGCGAATATTTCCACTCCATATCGACTTCCTCACATCACCTGGGATTTTATTTGTTTTTTGGGATTTTTCATTCTCATAAATAAATAAATATAATATTCATTTTACCAGAAAAATTAATTTCAGAAATCTGTAGTCAATAGGGAGACAGGCTGGGTCTGGAGTCCTTTCAGTGATTATGTATATTGTTCCCTGTATCACAAACTCTGGACTGAATCTATCTGCTCTAAACTATTTAGGAATGATTTTCTAGACTGTTTCAGCCTTGTAACTGTGGGGACTTGGATAATAATAATCACAGCATTAAGGCATTTTAGAGGTCTTTTTATATCCCATCATATTTCAGAGAGAGTTTAAGGGGCTTACAGAAATATATACATTAAAATAAAATTCAAATAAGAAAAACAAATTAAGACCAAAGGAAAGTGAGAGTAGGAAAGAAGATGAAATCAAGATTAAGGATGATATATGAAATGCATGCTGTAAGATTCTGAACAATTTCTTTTAATAATTGTATACTGGTTAATTTAAACTGGAAAGAGAATCTCCATGAAAGTTCTGGAAACTATTTCTGGATCCATATTGTGTCTTAGTGCTTGGATCGATGATTTTTGACCGTACCTTCTTGTTTAGATGAATTGAATATCATTGTTTACTTGGACTAGTTGCAGACTTCCTACCGGTATTGGCCCGTAAACATGGGACCAGGTAGCACAGTATTTCAGAAAATGTTTAATTAGTTGCCACCATTTAAAAATTGAGAGATCAAATAATCTAGATTTCTGGCTTCACTTGAAAAATTAGGATCCCGTAAGTCCAGGCTTGCATGCCTACATGTCAGAGATCATCTGGAGCTGAGCAGTGGAGAGCTGTTCCCACTGTGCACAAAATCTCCACTTCATTAGAGTCCCCTGTCAGTTCTCTCCACTCGTTTACATCACCTGCCTGGGCTGGGTAGACCATGGAGTTTGCAACCCCTGCCCTAGACCACCTGCCTCGCACTAAGAATGAGCAAACTAAAGCCCAAGGAGATATCAAAGCTGGTTAGCTGAAAACTGGTCCCTTCAGTACACCGTTACAATGTTATATCAATTCAGTTTAGTTCAGTTAAGGTGTTTAATGAATGGCTTGACTTTGCCCAGCAGTGAATTGGGCATAATGAGGAGTATAAAAGTCTTTCAACAATAGGTACAACCCATTAATGTTGGTAAGACATTTACCCATGCCAGTCAAAATTTGCTAATTTGTACTGTTGTGTGATAGCATCATTAGTTGTTATTAATCATTAGTTGTTAGTCATGTGTGACATGAACATGCTGATTTTAAAATGGATTAAAATATAGAAATGTAATCATAAAGTGAAGCCCATATTTCCATCACCATCAATTCAGGCAATTGGTGGGCAGACTTTGATAAGAGAAGCCAAGTCTACTTGGGGTATCACTTCTTAAGTTGCTTGAGCCCTAAGAGAAGTGTTCATTGTGCTCTTGTCCTTTCAGTGCACTTGGAGGCTCCTCAGCTCTTCATATCCCAGCTTTCCCAGGAGGAGGATGTCTCATTGATTATGTTCCTCAAGTATGCCACCTGCTCACCAACAAGGTAAAAGCAAGCCCCCTGACTCCCCCACCTTGTGAGGCTCCTTCCTCCAGTACAGCACCTACCCAGCATCGTCGTGCAGGCACCATGCTCTGTGCCCATCTTCTTAGTTTCAACATCCATCCACAGCAGCCTTTCCTACTTCGAATTGCAATTCATCACTTCTCTTGTTCTTTGCCCTCCTTCTTCCTTTCCTAAGGATTCTGATCTCCTCTTCTAGTCTTATCTTCATCTTTTAAATGTATATTTCCTCTTTCTTGAATTTCCTTTATATCCTAAGTTTTTGCTAGATCTTGCACCTTCTTATGGTTTTAAATTTTTGAACTCCTTTGTTCAGGAGTTCAAAATTATCTGGTGAGCGTGAGCATGCGTGTGTGTGTGTGTGTGTGTGTGTGTGTGTGTGTGTGTGTGTTTCCCACTAGTTAATATCAGGGTAATTCTATAGAGCTGCCTTCATCTTTTTCTGCACCTCACTTTTTAATAGTCTGTTCTTGATTCTCCCTGTCATGTCTAAGAGCAGTTTGCCAGAGTCCTACTCCTAGGGGCAAGATTTCCAGGTCAGCTGGTCTCATAGCCAGGCACATCAGATTATCTAAAGCTTTCTCTTAGCTGCGTTAATGAGCCATTACATTGGCAAGTAGCTGAGTTTACATTAATGGTTGTTGTCAGATATTTCTAAAAAGTATAATAATATACTTGTTAATGTCCAGCCAGTGTATTTAGCTAAAAACTGGAGATATTAATCCGCAAGCAATACTGACTTTCTTTCTTTTCCCATATGGGCTGACTCAGTTTGCTTAATTCCCAAAGTGCTGTTTTCTTAGCTCCTATTGACTATTCACATTGGCTTGGAAAATAAATCTTTTGACTCTTCCATTCAAAAGGTAGCTCATCTCTATATAAAAAATATTTTAAAAGTACAATAGTATTTCAAAGGCTTCAGTATTGTTTTTTAAATGTCAGAGAAACTAAAATCTGGCAATTTTGCAGTCTGTGGGCTTGGCACAGATTCTGGGGCATTTAACTCTCGGGGATTGGTTGCTTCTCATTGGACCAAATTCCCCCAGCCTCTGCCCTCCTACAAAACTGGTCGGAGGAAATAATTCTTATTTACATTGTGGAACTTGGTACTGCCTTCAAATCTGTGTCCCAGTATTTTAGAGAAAAATGCAAATTTGGTCTTCTAGAACTGAGAAGAAAAGCCTTTTTAAAGCTCTCCAATTGAGATTAATTTCTAGTCATACATTTTCCTCAGAAAATTATAATACCGTTTTCCCAGAAATACAAGAATCAGTTTTTCTTATCTGGTTCCCTTTCATTAATTTTACTTGTCTTTTAAAATTGATCTTCTTCTGGTTGCTACAAACGAGGACAGTATGGGCTGCTTTTAGAAACAATCTCTTCAAATGAATTTCCATAATTACATTGGAATCTATCTTTATAGCCAGTTTTGTTGTGGGTTTCTGTTAAAATGGTTTTCTGTTTTTAAAATCAAGTATACAGAACTGTTTTCATCCCCTTTTTAAACAAAACCACTTAAGCAAACTTATCATCTGTTTTTCTTTTCCCAAAATAACATTTCTGATCCTGCATTAAGCCTGCAAAGTAAGCACTGTTTTTATAAATCGACTTAAACCCCTATTATATAAATAGAATTGTTTTGCTTTTAAAGGGTACAACATGGCTATCAGTACCAATTGTGTCAAGGTTATTTCAAGCACTTTATCTCAAGCTTTTGTTAGCCGTGGAAACTCATTGTGGCTACAGCCAATATAAACAATTTGGGGGGTCTCTTTCTCCCACTGTTTCTTTCAGCCATTATGAGGACGTTATAAGAAACGTATTTTTGTGTTAGAAGCTGGTGGGTAAATGACTAACTTTCAGATACCTAGCTTAATGAGTTCACAGGTTTTTTTTTTTAATAGAAACTGTCATTTCATGATAACGAGGAAATATAAAAAGGCTAAATAAAATCCCCTGCTGTAACACTCCTTGTTCTCAATATTAGGAATTTGAAAAGAAAGAATTAAGCATTATCATGCCTTTTCAATAGGAGTTGTAGTTCAGGATAACCTAATAGCCCCATTTGATGAGAGGAAGCTCTTCTTTACAGAAAATTCCAGCTGATAAATGCAGAAGGAATGATAGCATTCAAAAATCACCATTTTTCAGACCCTAATGAAATAATTGATTCAGACAAGGATCTCCAACAGATACTAAAACCATTAGGGAAAGGTTGACGGAGAACTAGATTTTCACATGCTTTAAGAGGTACACCCATGGATTACTCTCTATGGCAAAGGGGAAACATCTCTTTACAGTGGAGTGGTCTGCTCTCATCACCTTAGCCAACCATCAAACCCAGTATCGCCTATGAAGTTTTCTTGCCAAAAATCTGTAACCTGAATTTAATCACACCTTTAGCTCTAACTTTCAATTTATAGGAAATACAGAGGGTAGAGGAAAAGGAAGGAAACACCCGGAGAATCTAGAATGCAGAACAGTCTCTAAGCAACCAGCCCAATCTCTTTGAAAAGTCAAGATCATGTTATGTGTGTGCAGGCACACACACGTAGACACATGTACAAACACCCAAGAGGTACTATTATTCTAGAGTAAAAGACTTTCTAGATTAAATGCCTGATCCTTGATTATACCTTGTTTTTTCAAAAAATGTTTTGAGTACAACTGGGAAATTTTGAACATGGACAGGATACTAGATAAATTCAGAGAATGATGGCTAACTTTGTGGGGTATGATAATGGTGTTGTGATTATGTAGGAAAATGCCTTGTTTTTTGGAGATGCATGCTGAGGTATTTAGGGGCAAACTGTCATGATGTCTCTAATTTCCTTTGAAATGTTTTCAGCAAGATTGATTGATAGGTTGATAGGTAGGTAGAGGGCTGGATGAACCAACTAGGCAAAATATTCACAGTTGTGGGGGGAATATGGATGTTCATTTTATATTCTTTCTACATCTCTGAATCTTTGAAATTTTTCATAATAAAGCATTTAAAAATTTCCTACTCCACTTTTCGGCTTTGGGTTCCTATTCCAGGTGCAGTATGTGATTCAAGGATATCACAAAAGAAGAGAGTATATTGCTGCTTTCCTCAGTCACTTTGGCACGTAAGTTCTTCTTTGCTTAAACCATGTATCAACAATGCCCTCACTTCCTGATGACCCTAATATGAGGGCTTGATTAAGAAAATAACACTTAGTTCTTACATAGATACCTTTTCAATGCCATTTTGATTCTTTTTGGTATGTTGCTTACACTAAAGCTCCCAGGAAAACATTTTTTTAAGGATTCTTTAGCAAATAAGAGAATCAGATATCTTCCCTGGAGCAGCAGCACGAGTAGCCCTAAACACAGCAGTAATAATCCCTGCTTGTTATAGAGCTCTTTACAGTCCGCACAGCACTTTCACCTCCATCGTCTCACTGTAGTCCTAGGGTGAACCAGGCGGACGTTATTGACTCATTGTACTGAAGAAAGCCCTGAAACTTGGAGAAGTTCAGTAACCTCATGGAAGTCACACACTAGAAGAGGTACAGCCAGGGTTCTGAGTCCCGAACCCAGTTTGGGACTCAGTTCTCCTGACTGGAATCCCACTCCTGACAGTGCCACACAGATTTGGGAAGGAAATCTAGCCTTAGACACCAAAGCGATGACGCACGCTTGTAATCGGGAGTTGGAAGAAGGCCCCGAGAGGGAAAAGGAAGTGTGTAACTGCAGTGACAGGACGGCCTCTCCTGCTGCTGTCCCTAGGCGTTTGCCTCTTCCTTCAGGCTGCCAGTGGCTGTACAGCTCTGCAGCTCTATTTCTTTAAATGATGTCAGAGGCATTATCAAGCTTCTATTCCAGGCTTAGCTCAGTTGGAGAGGGAATGCATTTCCCTTACAGTCTTCTTTAAAAGGTGGAGCATTCTACCCATTTGGAGGGACTAAGCACTAAGGGGTTTAGTAGTCTGGTTGTATCCCATCTTATTCCAGAAAAAGCTTATAAACATATAAATATGCATACAGCAACACAAAATTAAAATTCTAAATAAGTAAATTTAGAAATTAGGACAAAAGGAAAGTGGGAATAGGAAGGAGTAGATGAAATTAAAAATAAGGTTGGCCATTCCCTGGGATATAATTTTATAAACTATAGATAATTATAAGCAAAATTTCTGACTCCTCAAAACAATTTCAAGAAATTTTTTCGTTATCCATAGGGGAATTTTTCATGCCTCCCAAATAGAAGTGTCAATATCTAACCAGTATGACCACCTCTCATAGAAGTCTTTTTTTTTTTTTTTAAAGATTTTATTTATTTATTTTTTCCCCCCAAAGCCCCAGTAGACAGTTGTATGTCATAGCTGCACATCCTTCTAGTTGCTGTATGTGGGATTCGGCCTCAGGATGGACGGAGAAGTGGTGCCTCGGTGCGCGCCCGGGATCCGAACCCGGGCCACCAGCATCGGAGCGCGTGCACTTAACCACCAAGCCACAGGGCCAGCCAGAAGTCTTTAATACTTAAGATTTTTTTCAGCTTTATTTATGAACATTTTGAGAAAGTACTTATGATACAAACGGTGGTTAATAAATGACACCATTAGTCTTCTAATTTTTGAGTAAGATGATCTTTAGTGTATATAATTGGAAATGAAGAGGCTAGCACAATGACCTCCAAAGTAGGGTACACACACCCCAGGGGTGTGTGCTTCACCTCGCTTCATTGGCATACAAGAAAAGTGTGAAAATTGCATTTACATTTGTTTTTAAATCTCATTCTTTTTTAGTGTACTTTTTTGTGTATGTTTTATTATGCGTATAATACAGTAATATAGTACAGTCATGCAACTCTTAACGACGGGGATACGTTCTGAGAAATGCGTCGTTAGGCAATTTTGTCATAGTGCAAACATCACAGAGTGTACTTACACAAACCTAGATGGTACAGCCTACTACACACCTACGCTATATGGTACTAATCTTATGGAATGACCATCATATACACGGTCTGTCTTTGACTGAAACGTCGTTAGGCGGCACATGACTGTAATACTTGTATACAACTACTAAATTATATACAAGTACTATATTCCTGTACTATACACATAATGAAAAAGCTTCTGTGGTTGTTTTTGCTCGTGGGATGCAGGATCTAAAAAGTTTAGATATCAGTATTGTAACATATTGACTTAATTACAAATCATGAAAAGAAATATAAACTGGTGAATAAAATTGTTAACTTAAGTCAGAAGATCTGAATGATATACCAACAGTCTTTGAGCAAATCACCCAGCCTTCAGTGTCTTAGTTCCTTTACCTTTATAATGGGTGCAACTGTTCCTTCCTACTTAAGCTGGGAGGCCATCCTCCCAGTACTAACGGTCTAATTGCCGTGACTCAGCTAGGGAGAAGGTATCTTTAAGGACAGCAAATACCTCTGTGTATGAATGAGAGAGAACATTATTCCTGTCCGCAGTGTGTAGTTAGTATTGTCACATTATGGTGACATCCCCAAAGCACTCAGCTCTTGAGGGAAATGGGGGAGGTGAGTTGACCAGAATTCTGCCCAGGCCCTTCAGCGGTGAGGAGCTGTTCTCCCTTGACACATGAGGTGTGCATCTCCCCTCTGAATCCAGCGTCCACCCAGCTAATGTTGCTACTTTGTCTTGAGCCCACTGAGGAGATGGGGGACACAAGTGAAAGGATTCCAAGTACTTCAGAAGAAAATGATGTATAATCCTAAACTTAGTAATATTGTCATTGCTCATTACTATTTAGTGCCTAAGTGAAAGTGAGACTTAACAATCACTATACAGACAGTAGTGTCATTGCTGACCTGATTTCTTAATTTGTCCTTTTACTCATAACAAGTAACTAACATTTACATAGTGTTTTATGGTTTATCTTATTTGTTTTTCACAACCCAGTAATGAAGTTTGAAAATATTATTATATTTGTTTTACAGACGAGGAAACTGAGGCTCCAAAGGTTAAGTGATTTGCCTGAGGTCGTAATAGATAGTAAATGCCAAAGCTGTAACTTAAACCTTGATGCTGTCATTCCAAATTCCACGTCCTTCCCGGAGTAACATTCACTTACCTTAAATGCATCTTGGATTCATTAACCCAGACTTTCTGAATATATTCTTTACTTGGTTCCATCTCTTTTATACCTTATTTTTATGAGAGTTTTTTGTTTGTGTGTGTATGTTTTTATTATCTAGAGGTGTCGTGGAATATGATGCAGAAGGCTTTACAAAACTCACTTTGCTGCTGATGTGGAAAGATTTTTGTTTTCTTGTACACAGTGAGTATACTTTTGTTATTAGCACGTCAGCATACATTTGAAAATGTACTAAACCACGTATAATACTGAGTATGAGACCCATTAGTGTCCTGACTTGATTCCTTTTACTTATGTATATTTACTGCGTGTTCTTAAAGAGAAACTATCTCTAGACCAGTGGTTCTCAACCAGGTGTCATTTGCCCCTCAGCAGACGTTTGGCAATGTCTGGAGACATTTTTGATTGTCGTGATTGGGCAGGGGGGCGTCGGGGAGGTTGTTGTTGCTACTGGCATTTAGTGGATAGAGCTCAGGGATATTGTTAAACATCCTACAATGCACAGGGCAGCCCCCCACAACGAAAAAATTAAGTGCAAAATGTCAATAGCTGAATTTAAGAAACCCTAACCTAGGCAGATTGCTGTTTCAAAGCATCTTTCCAGTATGAGATCTCAGAACTTTCAGGATTACTCAAAACATACTTGCTTTGATCATTTGGGTATCATCCTTATTAAGTGAAAAAACTACAACTTTGATAATATATAATGTATATCTTGAAGGTGAGACAAAGTTTTTATGTATTCCCAGCATCACTTTTCAATTTTCTTCCACATAGTAGGCATATTTAAGTGTTTGTTGTGTTACATTAATCAGTCAGTCAGTAAACTTTGGTCCAGCTTTCTCTTGATGGATAATTTACAGTCTGTTTTGTTTATTTCTTTGTTGTATAAGAACCAGTGACCCATGGTGCCAGGTTCAAGTTGCAAATCAACCAAGACCTTTATTCTTTAGTCATTTGGTATATAAAATGCCAGTCTTCAAACCAAAGGTAAAGAAGTTCCAGCTCTCCCAAGTCGAGTTACAGAAAAGCAGTGGGTTTAGGTTGACTTCACTCAGTAGATAGAACTACCCTAGACCTTAATAAACTATTTCAGGAAGAAAAGCTTTGGCCCTATTTAGCCAAGCCATCAGATAGTGTAAAGATATTGATTTGGGGGGATTTTTCTTCCCTAGCAGATTGAACTTCTTGGTTGTGACTTGCTTAGGCTAAAATAGTTCTTAAATTCATTTGTCTTATCTGATTTCACACCAACAGATGGTAAAGGAAGAAACCCAAAAATGTGTATAGAGGCAGAGGGAAGAAAGCTTCTAATTAAAACCTTACCATGGTATAATCCACACAGAGATGACTGAGAGTTACCTATGCTTTTAAGGAGTTGGTTCTCCCTGCCCTTTAGGTGTTTCCCAGTGAAAACCACCTTGTCTTGCAGTGCTTTGTATTGAACTCTACTCTATAGCTAGTCATTCATTGCGACCATCCTTTCAAATGCATCTGAAAATGGAAGCATATCTCTTTGTATTAATTATGTGCAAAGATAAACAGAGAATTGGAGAGGTAAAGTTTTTAATCTTGGGTCTGCCTCCAACTAATTACGTGCCCTTGTTCAAGTCACTAGGACAAGCCTCCCTCTGCTGTAGTTTCCTCATATGTACACTGGGGATCGGGTTGTTAAGTCCTGTGGAGATGTCGGCATATGGAGCTTAACCTATAGTACGGGGCCAGATGGAAGAGGCAACCTCACAGTCAAGGCCTCCTGGCAATCTCCTTTTTGCTCACCATCTTCCCTGGCCCTACTGGCACTTCCAGCGTCCACTTTTGATTCTGACCTTAAGTGTCGCTGTTCTGGTTTTCCATTCTGAGTCTAATTCCTTTGTGAGATCTCACTTCCTATTTGCCACATCCACTTTGCCCCATGATCTTGATGCTAGTGGTTCTGTTTCCGGCCTGGTAACCCAGCCCCAGATCCTGACTGCATCCTTGATTTGTCTCTCATGACTGTGGACAGCTGCCTGGGGGATTAGTGTGGTTCAGCCCAGCTCAGCAAGAGGGGCCTGTCCCCTGCCTTGAATGGTGGTGGCAATAGTCAGAACCCTCTCAGAGTGGCTGTGGGAGACGGACACAGAAGAAAGGACACACAGAAGGACAATTGCAAACATTGAATTAGATGAATGCTTCAACTAGTTTCTTCTCCAAAGTTTATTCTCCAAAGAATATTTTCTCCATGGTACCGTATATCCAGTATTTCTTCCAGCTTCCTTCTCCACCTTCCTTGCTTAGCTTTTCCAAGTCAGACATGCAAAATTAAGTCCAAAGTCATATTTTCACTTAGTTTTGAATACCTTCTTCAGAAACATAGAACCCCCAGGCACTCATTAGAACAGCTGCCAGGGACCTTGAGATTCGTTTAATTTACTTTTTCCAAAGTGTTTCCTCAGGCTATTATTCCTTTCCTCCCCAGGCTATTTGCTCCTTGTCTCTTAGTGTCGCTACCTACACTCTTGGCTCTTTGGCAGATAAGACCTCATCAATGAATCAAGGGAGCCGACTGTCTTTAAATAAATTATTTCCACTCTTTTGCTTCTTTCTTATATCTAAAATGTAGGACTTGCTACCTCAGAGTGAAGCTTGGTTAGATAATGTTTTATTCAGTCATGCAGTTAAGCATCTGACACTTACCTTCCTTTAGAAGCATCTGCTTGTTTGGTTATAACACCTATGGGACCTCTTGTTCCTTTTTTTGTTTCCATGAAGATGGGGAGATGAATGTGGGGTGGCAGAGACTTAATGAATAGAACATTGCTGTGAATTATTCTGAGATCTCAAGAACGTGAAAAGGGAAGAAGGAAGTGCCTAGAGATGGAGCCAGGCTTCTGTGGCTGGCTCCACTGCTCCGTGGAGATTGATAACCTGGCAAGACACCAATAACATCCCTGCCCTCCCCCCTCTCTGTTCTGCCAAGGCCCAGGAAGACAACTGTCCATAGGACGGATGCTGGTAATAATTCTAAGCATTTTGGATGCTAGAAGAGAGAAACACTCCTCTCTTGAGGCAGACAGCTCTGACCTCAGACTTTGCCAGAGCATGCAGAAGCAGGAATGCCTTAGGGGAAACATTGTACGTATTCTGGGATCTCTCAGGAGACACTGCAACTTCCTGGCATTCTGGCCGTTGCAGGAGTGGGGACTGTGGCCATGGAGTTTTTTCATCCATTTATTCCATCTTTCCTTCCTTCCTTCATCCATTATCAACGTATCACAAGACTAGGAACCACAGCAGGATCAGGGACTTGTTCCCATCCAGAAACTGTTTTGTTTTCTGACCATCATCTAAAAATTGTTTGTAGTGGTTGTGAGGTAATTCCATATTTGCCAAGCTGTTTTTACCTCTGGAGGTAGATGTTTAAGCCAGCAGCTTTTCAGAGTGCTGGGTGACAAGAGAACCAGATAGCAAGGCACAGTAGCACAGAACAAGAGCAACCACTGGGGGAAACATCAGCTCTTTTCCATGGCCTCCAGTCAGCTGCACTGTGAGTAGACCTAAGAGGAGGCAGCTGCCTAAGGTAACAGGGTTGCTGCTTGGAAGCAGAAGGTTTTGAGATCTGTGACTTCCAAGGCAGGGAGAGAATCTGTGATTGTACGAGAAGCTGTCTTTTCCACTTACCTATAAATTCTTGGTAAATGACCCTTTGAGTCATCCAGCCTGGACCATAGGCCATATCTCCCTGGCAAAATACCTATTAGACCAAATCTGACCGCTTTGGCTGTTCCATTTCATTTTTTCTGTTCTCTACCCCTAACCCAATCAGTTTAACCCAATTCAACTGAGTTCTGAGTTTCCTGAGAACCTACTAAATGATCAGTACTATGCTAGGTCCCAGGGGATATGAGTAAATAACTGAAGCTTGACCTTAAGACACTTACAGTCTAGCATAAGCGTTGGCAAATTACAGCCTATGGACCAAATCCCACCCTCAGCTTCTTTTCATGTGGCCCTTGAGCTAAAAATGGTTTTTATGTTTTTAAAAGGTTATTAGGAAAAAAAAAAGAATAGACAACAGAGATGGTAAAGCCTAAAATATTTACTCTTTGACCCTTTACAAAAAAGTTTGCCAACCCCTGGTCTAGTTGATGAGAAAAGAGAGCAGGTAAAGGTGAAGTACAATGGTAAGCATTTTTAAAAACAAATATTTTGTGAACTTGCCTACTATATGCAAGGCACAAAGTGACATATGACCAAGAGAGCACTTCATATGTTATATATATAAGAGAGAGATATATGTATACATATGTATAGAGAGAGAGACTCTCCCTAATGGAATCTAATAAGAGAGACAGACATTAAAGAAGTAAACTAACAAATATATAAATTTCAAATTTCAAATACCATAATGGAACAAAGTAGATGGCTATGAAGAAGACTAAGAGGGGACCTGTTGTTAGGATGATCAGGGAAGTCTTCTTGTAGGAGGTGACATTGCAGCTGAGACCTTAATGAGCAGCCATTCAGAAAGTCAAGGGTGGAGATTCCAGAGAAAGAAGTCAGCTTGTGCAAAGAGCTGCAAAAGGCAGCAAAGAGCTTTGCATGAGCCAGTGTGGCTGGAGCACACTTAGCAAGGAGAGAGTCATATAAGATGAGGTTAGAAAGAAAGTCAGGGCCAGATCACCTAGTGCCTCATAGGCCATTTGTATCAGTTATGATTAAGTAGTAATAAACATTTGAAAAACAATGGTTTAAACAAGATAGAAGTTTATTTCTCTCTCATGTATAGAAAGTCCAAAGGTAGGCAGTCCAGAGCTGGAATGACAGATCCAAAGGTCACATAGTACCCAGGTTCCTTCCAGCTTTATACTCAACCATCCCTCGGGTGTGGCTTTCTTGCTCACAGTCCAAGAAAACTGTTTGAGCTCCAGCCATCACATCCACAATCCATACAACAGAATAGAAAAAAAGATGGAGGGGTATAATAATTCCTATTTACTAAAGCTTCCAGGGTATCTTATGCACCACTTCCAATTAAATCTCATTCTTCCACAACTTAGTTCATATGGCCTCAACATATGAGCTAGGGAAGGCTGGGGCTGGGGCAGTGAATGCCCAACTTAAAATTGGAGTTCTTTTAACTTGAGTGAGAAAGAGAGAATGGATGTTTACTAAGCAACTACTAGTCTCTGTCAAACCAA